CCTGCCCAGGTATGTTATCTGGGCCTGGGGCCTTTTATGGTAAGTGGAAACTAAGCAGAAACAGCCTGTCATCATTGGACTAATCTTACCTTCTCAATGAGCGGCTTCACACAGTGTAACGTATCCTGGATGTATTGATTCAGCTCAGGGTGACAGGACATCTGGAAATGATTGTACCAACCAGAAGAGCAGGGTCAGACTTTTCAAACAGAATAGCCTTAAAACTAACTCCTGTGCATTTCTATAGAAATCTTTACCTGCACAGGTACATTGTATTTCTTCCTCTTCTGGAAGATTCCAGAGGGATAAACTTCACGGACGTAGAGGATGAGGTGAATGGCGACCTCCAGGAACTCGCACAAAATGTCAGCAACCACTGGAAGAGAGAGATAATCCCAATCAGGCCACTGATGGGACAGTTATTTACCAATGGACACAAACAGACAGCACTAAGCCTACTCCTGTTCATCTTTAATATCACCAATATCTAAATATTAATATTCAAGCTTTACCCTTCTATAAATATCATTAGTTAGACTGATAGACTGATCAGACAGCTGATATTTGTGTTTTTTTCTTGTATTGTATCAGCCAATATGCCTGTTCATTAGTGCCTTCAGCAGCCACACCTTGAGACTGTGTGAAGAACATGTTTGCTGCTTCCTCCATTTGTTATCTATTTTTAGTGTGTTGTTTGCTAATAAATGTCCATTTTATTTACAATGAGACTTGTTGTTGATTTTGTCATTTTATTATGTAAATGGAGAAAGAGGAAGCAATATTGACCATAAAATCAGCAGCACCTGTCAGGGACTGGATAGATCGATATCAAATAATTAGTCAAGCTAGAAATCTTTAAGCCAGATAAACAACCGATTTAATCATGCATCAAAATGTTTGTAAACGTACATTCATATCTAGATTTATTGCAATAAATGATCTTAACTCATTTAAAGTACAGAACAGCATCATTAGTCCTGTACTGAAAGGCAGACTTTCTATATTAGTTAAATGTTACAGAAAAACAGTTTTAATGTATTTTAAAAAGCTTTCAAGTGAAAAACAAACATCCTTGATAATTAAGCTCCACAAAAGTGAAATAACTGAGTAAATCTATTTCTATGAAGGACCTTTTTATCTAATGCTCCAAAATAACATCTACCGGTAGTGCAGCAACCTGCTATCAAAATGAAGCTGCATTCAATTTAAACTTTGTTTAATTATCATGATAAAAACTGCAATAAAAAAACAACGGTTCTGTTAAGAGTTTTCACAGGTCAGGGAGGAAGTTAGAAAAGGATTTAAGGATGGGTTAGGTTATAAAAAAAACAATGTTTATCAAACTATGAGCATATCACAGAGCTGTTTAATTGCATAGACTACCTACCTCTCAGAAAGGTTGCATAACTGGAAACCTACTGAAAGTCATGGTTGTCCACCTAAACTGAAAGACTGGGGAAGGAGAGCATGAAGATCTATGAACTATGAATTGTGCATCCTACAAACCTTTCTTTTATTTCATGAAAAGAAGAAAGGCATTGTTGAAAGAATATCATAAGATGTCCTATATGAGGTTTGCCAGAAGCCCAGCAGGCGATCCAGAAAACTTTCTCTGATCAGATGAGAAAAACTTGCTTTAGGATCAAAAAGTTGATCTTTCTTTCAGCAGAACAATCTTAAGTATTTATCCAGAGCTGCAATAGATTGATGATCAATATCAAAATACCAATTTTAGCTACAGTCTAATTACATAACTTTTGATATCATGCAGTTAGATGATCCAGTCGAAATTTGCACTTTAATCCCATCTCTGATAAGAAACTGATGTTTACAAAAAGCCATTAATCCAAACTAATCCCAAAAGCTTGATTTACTTCTGCATTTCTGTAGTGTGATACGACAGCAAAATGAAGCCAGTTTTGCTTAATTTCTGCAGTTTTCCTTTGTAAATTATCTGTTTTACTTCATCCAGAGAGAACAGGGAGCTATTTGATTCACACAACATCCACCTCCTATTTGTTAACCTTCTTAAATCCACTTTAAACTTTAAATCTCTCCACACCAAAGACATGTTTGGACCATTTGGTGTTTCATGTACAAATTAAAGCCCAATAAAAGGTCCGAACCTGCATTAATGTTAATGATTACTCCATTGTAATGTTTTGTCTGACTAAAGCCTTAAAGCGAATGATGTTGCATACATTTATACCTTTATAATATCCCCAACATCTTCAAATAATGCCCTTCATTTAAAACAGCAGAGCAAACACCTATTATATTTATTCGCTTCAGTGTTTACGGGTCTTACCTTGTCCAAAGTTAAGATCTTGCCTTGTCAGAGTTGTCATTGTTTATTTAAAATAAAATAAAAAAGTGGGGCAATGATTTTTATTCGGCTAGCTATACATGAGAAGCGATAGATTATATTTTTAGATTTAAAAGCTCGACATTCCTCTTATGTTTGATAAAAATGTCAGCGGTTTAAATTTATTCCAAAAAGAGTCTGATAAAAACAACAACAGCGACGCCAACCCGATTAAACGTTTATTTGTTCATATTTTTCAAAACGAAAGGTATGTTATTAGCCTCCTCGCGCATAAAGATGACGTAGCTCTTTCCCGCTCCTCGAGGTCCAGGGATGATGACGTTTTTTGGGGTTTTCTTTTCTGTTTTCCTGATTTTACATCTATTATATATATATATATATATATATATATA